AACTCGAGAAGGAAGGCCCATGGGCCTTTGTCCTTTTGGGCTTTTTCTAGTCTCATTGGACTCTACTTATCGGCAAAATATCAGCTTGAAAGCTTTGAATCACTTCGAACGGTTCCCTCGTAAGTTGTTTTCAAATAAATCAAAAAAACATGAGACTTCGATCGATAGATTGTAAATCGAGTAAGAAAAAAAAAAGGTTTGGTTTGAGAAGGAAATATTAATAGTAAAACAAAAACGTGTTGAGCAATATCACTTGCTGATTCCAATTCCAATAAGCGTTTAGAAAAGCTTGTTGCAGTTTTCTAATTTTTTTAATTTCAATGCGTCATTACGTGCAAATTTTAATGACATGATTTGATGTATTGGTAGTAATTGTAAATGAGAAAAATAAGCAGCTAATTCATATCAACATTTTTCATCATCTTTCGCTAAATCTTCGTTTTTGCCATTGATATTTGTAAATCAACAATGTATTTTCTTTACAGATTTAAATTAATCGTTGACTTTCAAGAATAAATTGACGCGATTCAACATTAAATAATGGAACAGATAATAATATTGAACGAAATTTTCTATTTGTTATTAAACGATAAGCAATTTGAAAACGTCTAACTAATTCTTCTAATTTTAATCCAACTGCTGGATAATATAATTTTGGTGAATGTGCATCACGCCTTAATAATTAAAATAACAACTTCAAAAATATTTATGAAATAAGCAAATAAATATAAACCAATTTCTTAATGAATATGCATCTAATGATGAATGTTCTGTAACAGCTCAAGATGCATGTGAATATATTTGAATAAATAAATACAAGGTCATGTGGTAATTCAATTTCAGTGCCACTCCAATCTTCATCTTGTTGCTCTTGATCATTATTAAGTTATTCTCTATTAACATCATCTTTATCATCAGCCCAATCTTCACCACTTGTTACTGTTTCATCAAAGTAAAAATTTCCAACAAGTTGTGTTGTGTTATTTTATTTGATATTAAATCTACTATTGATGTTGTTGGTTGCCTGCCTTTGATCATTGTACCTTCACAAAATCCTTTTGATACAGCTAATAATGGCCAATTCAATTCTTGTTGACACATTGGACATGATGGTAATATTAATTCAGCATTTGGATTCATTTCAGATACCTAAAATATATCAAATTTTCTTACTGAAATTTAAAAAAAATTCAAAAACAAACTCATATCGTTTCGATCTTCTTTGTCGATTTTGTACAAAGTATATACTTATCAATCTATTCTTAGACGCATCAA